CTCTCTCTAGAAACTAAAGTTTGAGAGAACCAGATAGATCTTATTCTTATTACTGAAGTCTATATATATAGACAAATATACAAGGCTGACCTAATTCTAGAAGGGGAAGGTAAAGGACAAATGAATACATATTATTTAAAAGAATGTAAAATATACTACTATATACTCTAACACTCCCCCTCAAGTTGGTGCGTATATGTTAATCATGCCCAACTTGTAAGAGAGATAATCTATCCGTGCTCCAGTCAATGCTTTAGTGAAGATATCTCCTAACTGCTCTCCAGTGTTCACATATCCTGTAGCCACCAATCCTTGCTGTATTTTCTCACGTACATAATGACAATCAACTTCAATGTGTTTGGTTTGTTCATGAAATACTGGACTAGATGCAATATGGAGAGCTGCTTGATTATCACACCAAAGTTTCATTAGAGTGGTGACTGGCGGTGACGAAAGCACACGGCTACGGCGACGGCGATTGGCGGCAAGACGAAACCCACGAACAGCAATCGGAAAACAGCAGCGCTAGCGAATCAGCAAACAGCGGCGGTGGTCGGCGGCAGCGGCAGCGGTAGCAGTGAGTTGAGTTGGATAGCAATGAACAAAACTCCAAGGGACAAAACCCTAATGGGCACAAAATCCTAATGGGCATCAAAACCCTAATGGGCACAAAAATTTTAGAAGAAACTTAGAGCTCTGATACCATGTAGAGACTAAGGTTGGAGAGAATCCAATGTTAAGGGAAAATATTTTCTTCGTGAAAGTATTATTTTCAAAAAGAAAAACAAAAAGAAAATAAATTGCTGGTCGGGTATAAGGGAAGGAAACAATTTGGTTTGTCTATCCGCTTTTATGTGTTGGACTAGTTATTTTTTCGAATGTGTTGGACTAGTTTTAAAAATTCTTTTATTATTATTATTTTCATATATTTTTTGTTAAAAAAAAAAAACTTTTATATGCCACTGGTTTATCCATCCAACGAATTAGCTTTGCATTCATGAGCAAATGTTAAGGGTTCAATCAATTCAATGCTAATATCCCAACACCTGAAAATAAGAACATAAATCCAGTTGCTTAAACAAAACAATAATATGTGAAGATTCAAATTGTTAAAATTTTATTTTGTATTTGTTATTTTTACCCTTACCCTCATTGGTAAAACTTTAATCATATTTTTATGATCGTATTGCTGCCAGATTCTCCCTGTTAATTCTTGCTAGTTAATGCTATAATGGATGCTTAGCCTGCAAATGCAATAAGAGATGATTATAATTTCTTTTTCAATCTTTTTGCAGGAGATGGTGATAGGAACATGATACTGGGTAGGGGTTTTTTTGTTACTCCTTCAGATTCTGTTGCAATTATTGCAGCTAATGCACAGGAAGCGATTCCATATTTCAAGAATGGTCCCAAGGTAAGGAATTCTCATGCTTCCTTTCTCAAGAACTTTATAATTTGTGGACGACATTTTAAAAAGTCATCCACAACTTAAAAAGTTACTGCAAAATAAAGTGTCTGTGGACAAGTTTTGAGTTTGGTTCAAGGGAGATAAAAAGGAAAAATAACATTCCTCATTTCTAGGGGCTAGCTCGTTCTATGCCAACAAGTGGTGCACTTGATCGTGTTGCTGCAAAGCTTAGTCTGCCATTTTTTGAGGTTCCAACTGGCTGGAAATTCTTTGGTAACCTTATGGATGCTGGGAAACTGTCAATATGTGGGGAGGAGAGTTTTGGAACAGGTTCCGATCATATCCGAGAGAAGGATGGCATATGGTAACAGTCTACATCACTTTTAGGCACAGTTAAAAGTGTTAGGTTCTACTTCCGGTGAAATGGAACCTAAAATGACCGATAAAAAGAAAAAATACAAGTAAATATGAGGAACGTAGATCAGTATTATCATATAGCAGAACCAACTAATTCAAGTAACTTCCTTTGGATCTGTATCTTTGAACATTTTATGTTTCTTTTCATTTATCAATAAAAAGTTAGTTTCTTGTTTAAAAAAAATAATAATTCAATATATTTCTAGACTGAATATGCAATTTGCGAAAAGAAGCTATGAGCTATCCGAGCCCTTAACTGCTTTAGTAGTCGATTTGTACAATGATTAATATTATATCCTCGAGCTGTGCATTTTAGCCCTCAGTAAATTGGAAAAGAACACTACCTAGTTCGTTTGTTTTTCTACTTTGTGGTTTTGCTCATGTGCTCACACCATTTGTTTGTGGGACTTCAAAATAAAGAATTTTATAGAAAGATGGTATATCGTTTTATTCCCATGTTAGTTACAATATGAAATAATTTGAGTCATTCTCATGAATCATGATAGGGCTGTGCTGGCTTGGCTTTCTATAATTGCATTCCGAAACAAAGACAAGAAAATAGGAGAGAAGTTGGTCTCAGTATCAGATGTTGTGAGGGAACATTGGGCTACTTATGGAAGGAACTTCTTTTCAAGATATGACTATGAAGTAAGAATATTTGAGGAGCTAGTGTTGTGCTTGTGTTACTGTATTAGGCTAGTTTCACTGTTTCACTCTTTATTTTTTAATGTGTCTGTTCAGGAATGCGAGTCTGAAGGTGCTAATAAAATGATAAATCACCTTAGAGATCTCATCAGTAAGAGCAAGTCTGGTGACAGATATGGTAAGTTTATTTCAAACATCTTACAGGCTGTCATTTTGCCTTTTTCTCATTGCCATGATTGTTTTTGCTAATACTTTGGCAGGAAGTTATGTCCTCCAATTTGCAGATGACTTTTCATATACTGATCCAGTAAGTCTCTTTAATATGAAAATTTACCATTTTTTCTAGTCTCAACCTTTACAACTTCAAATTTATTCATATCTTAATCAGTTTAATCTGATATCATGAATGGCCAGGTTGACGGAAGTGTGGCATCAAAACAAGGTGTTCGCTTCGTTTTTTCAGATGGATCAAGGATAATATACCGTTTATCCGTATGTTCAATCATTTTCTCTTTTTCCTCTTCTTTCTTATCATAGGACATTGTGGTCAATTATTGAGACATCTTTGAAATAGTGTAAAACAAAGTAACCATTTAAAGCTTAATGTTTTACAGGGAACAGGTTCAGCAGGGGCAACTGTAAGAATATACATTGAGCAGTTTGAACCGGATGTTTCTAAACATGACTTGGATGCCCAGACATCTTTAAAACCATTAATCGGTATGTTACATGCCCTATCCAACGATAACGATCTTCAATTATTTAATTTATTTTCTTCCTTGTCATGTTCTAGATCTGGCATTGTCTTTGTCTAAGTTGGAGGAGTTCACTGGAAGGGATAAACCTACAGTAATCACTTAAGGGGAAAATCTCATGATCTATAGACTGGCCCGGATTCCACAACATGGAGGTCGGCCCTTCCATCCCTTGCACTGCCTTGGGCATGATTGTGTCTTATTTTTAATTTTTGTTGGTAATTTAATTTAGGTCTGCAGAATAATTAGCTTGCCCATGTAAAATTTGACGGTTGATATAAACAACAGAAATAAATGATTAATTTATTGCTATACCAATGTCCACAATCTCTTTGACCGAGTTGCAGATGTTATATAAATGAACTTTTCCCATATCCCTTCTGAAAGTTTTGTGAGTAGTTTCTACATCCCTTCCAAATTGAACATTTATCATAGTTTTGATAAATGATTTTGAAATTGATATTTTTTTATTTGTGAAATCTATGAAATGATGTTTTGTATGATTTGATAAAGTTCTGTTAGGAACTATTTAAATTTTCTGAATTGATTTGATATCGAAAGTATGTTTTTTTTTTTCTTTTTGCATATTTTATAAAAGTATTTGGATTGATTCGATAGGGTTATTCGGATATGTCATTTTTGTTTTGGAAAAGTAGCCTAAATTGGAATTCATGTAATTGTTCTGGCTTAATTGAGAGAAGAYACTTTTGTGGTTTGACATTCCTTTAGAATGAAGATTAATGTGTGTTTTTTCATTCACGTGGCCCCACACTTAAGTAATTGTATTGATTGTTCTGGTCAATTATTTAATCGATAACTCTAATGGAATGTTTATTGATGGTGTTGACAAGTACCCACATGTTCTACAGGCTTCTCAAATAATGCATCTTCCTGCGATATTGAAAGTTATGATTGAATAAAAGTTTTGTTTTAGATAATTGAAAGCTGGAGGTACTTAATGTTTAAATTGATTTCCTACGAGAATAAAAGGACTGTTTTTGACCTGGTAGTTTCAATAGTGAACCGTCACCTACCAAACCTTGTAGCTGAATCACATGATATGCCTGTAAAGTTCACATGGACTGCCTTCATAATTACGGACAATTTAGAGGATTAGAATAAGCCTTGTTTCTTATCAAAAGAAAAAAAAAAAGGATTAGAATAAGCCTTTGGTTGGTTTGCCTAAACCAACAAGTTATGAGGTTATTAACACATTGATCAACTTGCATCAGGTCTATATCATACAAGTTGGTGAAATAATCCAAAGAAGGTTTCCCGATACATTCACTCTACAAGTTAAAAACAAAATCATTGCTTGAGAACACAACCAAGAACAAGTTCTTGTCATTCAAAACATGTAGTACTTGTCCTCTGCCTATATTAACAGTAGGCTTGAAAAACTGACAGTTACTTAGTGCATGTATTTGGACTAGCTCTCGTTCACTTGTTTCTTCCAGCTGTTTGGTATTGCAAACTTTTCTATTTGACAGCCATGACAATCCTACCTAGAACATGGTTATGGCCCCTTCTCTTTTAGGTTGCTAGAGTAACCTATTAAAATACAAGGCATCATTATAATTGTCTTCAATTAGGGCTGAGCTTAAGATTGTTTGTTGACCCATTTCGAGTATCATCAAATGGAAGGAGGCCATGATTTCATTCAGGATCCACAGTTATAGGTAGAACCCGAAAATAACATATGCGCTTGCAGGAGAACTCTCATTTCCTTCTGGATTGATGTATGAATGTTATTTCCTTCAGGAGAATTCTAGAGCTGGAAATCCAAATCAATGAAAAAGCTATAGGAAGATCTGGATTATAATAGGTACTGGACTTACATAAGAATTAATATCCTATAAATTTATTTGGCGATTTAATATCCTATAAATTTATTTGGCGATCTAATATAGTAGGATCAGATGGTTGTCGTGGAGGACAAATAAAAATTAAAAATAAAGAGGTACTGGACCTCTCAGATTGCTGGACTGAAGTAGTTGTAGATTCTTTATTTTAATGCTTGGGATGTAAACATGAATGTCAAATTACGAAGTGATCAGTGGCCTTGTGTTGATTAATTAATTGGAGATTATTACACAGTGAGGGTACTTAGGACTTCTTATCAAATTTTGGAAAAGCAGATTATAAATCCTCTTCAAAACTATTATTTTGTATTTTTTTGAATGGAGACTGATTATTAGGTTGATAACAAATAAAGTTTGGCCCTATGTGCACCAAAAATGATAGAATTTTGGGATAGGGCCCATTAGTTTTTGTTGGAGTTAGTGTTGTTGGGTGCTTACGAATAATAGGTCCAACATTTAGAGCATACTTGTGTAAGATACTCCATTTTCAGCAAACAGAAGAGGAGCATTATTTAAGTTGAAACTAAGCAAAGGGAGCATCCTGTTGATGTGATAACAAATAAAGTTTGGCCCTATGTGCAAAAACAGTATCAAAATTGGATTGTCTCTGCCCCCCATTTCTTACATAATAATAACCAATATGCATATTTGTATATTTTTGCTTAGGCAGACCCCACCAACATCTTTATGGGAAAGGAAAGCAAGCATCAATCTTGTTGTAGTGGATAATGAAGGGAATTCAACTGTGTTTGTCGTAATTTGTCACTAATTTGAGAGGTAAGCAAAGATCCAACTTTGTTGGGTCAATCAGTTTCATGGGATTTTTTTTTTTTTTTTTCTGTTTAGAGTGGAACTCATTTGTACTGATTTTGAACTGCATGACATTGTGTGTGACAACTCCACCATCATCATGTTAGTTGCTTCTTGATGTGTTCTCCATCTCTTACTTTTCCACCAAATGTTCCCCTGTCTTCTAGTGTCTAACAATTTGGGTTTTGAGAAACTTCAGATGATAAGCTTCCAAACTATTTTAATTATTTTTTAAGATAAAAATATATGTTGGATGGATATATTTTGTCTGGCAAAGATGTATCACTCTGATAATATATACATCTTTTTCCAACTTCTCGACATGCTTGCCCTGATGTTTTTTTTTTAGCATTTCTATGCATTTCCTTTTGAATTTTTATATATGAGTATGGGTTAAATTACACAAGTTTAGTCTCTTAACTCATTAGAGTTGTTTTTAACAGGTTCCTCAATTTTAAAAAATAGAGATTTCTAAGGGATCGTTGGATAACCATTTTATTTTTTCTTTTGGTATGGGTCAAATGAGATCTAACCCATTTTCAAAATAAGATTTCATAACATTTTGCTAGCATTAATAAGCACGTGAAATTACGTTTTTTGCCATGGTGAAAATACTGTCTCTCTCACCCTCACGTAGGCTTAGAATTCATATCAAGAATGGAGTCAACTCTAGGATCATGGTTGGAATCACTGCTCGACTTTGGTTGAGAGAGAATCGCGAGAAGATTATTTTTTGTTGGATTTTGTTTGTGGGAAAATATTATCATGATAATGATCATACATTATCTCTCACTCACTAACCTCTCTCTCTAAAATTTTTTTCTCTCTCTAAATTTACTCACTGTAAAATCTCTCTAAAAATTCTCTCTAAACTTCTATTTCCACGCATCTATATTATTGATAACAAAATTCTCCGTGGGGTTGGGTCATTGCTCCAAAAAAGGTGAGGAGTCTATGTTTTAGATGTACTTCACTCGAAAAGTATTATTAAAAACTACTACAAAACCATTTTTAATAGATTCACGACCATAAGCCTCTCTCTATTTTACTATGGTTATTTTTATACATTCTTTTGAGTTCAACAATTGCAGAGTGAGAGATTCACAATTGAACAATCAGAAAGTCATTTCCTTTGCTAACAGGAAAAATATATCGAAACTAAGTTGAGAAATGTACCTTCAGCTCACAATACCCTTCATATGTTCAATTTCACTTCAGAAAAGAACATGATTCATCTCAATCTCTTCTGATCATTTTTAAGATGAACTATAACAGTGCCACAATATACGTTTAACAACTTTTCTCTGAAGAAAATGAGCTTTTTTTAATGAAAAGTGAATAAATTTTCATGGGAAACAAGTAAATTTGGTCAGCTTGATGTGATGTCGGTGCTGAATGTCGTGTGCCCACCATGCAGTAAGTGCAGCATTAGAGCACTTCATTGAAGATAGAAAAGACTTGCAACTGTTAGAACCAAAATACAAACTCCCCATTTTACTTCTTGTAATCTTCTTCAAGGAAAGAAAAAAAAGATGATTGTGGATTTGGTTTAAGTGCTCCAACACACATTTTTCCATTCTCTCACATTATGCTGTCACTGTAGATTTGATTGTTTTTCAGCAAATGTTGGCTTCATTTGCCTTCAAAATATATCTTTAAAAAGGTTCATATGGTGTCAAATTTTGCATCGTAGAAATTAGTTTAAAGTGAATATTATCTTCACTTTTGCTATATACCTGTCTAAATCCTGTTATATGGCTGTTTTTTAGTAATAAGATTATACATAAATCCTTAAAGACAAAGAAGGTAGGATGTTAGATTCTAGACCAGATTTTTTTTTTCGAGTTTTGTATCCTTATAATCGAAGCTCGGGCTTGAACCTAAGAAAACCTCACGTAGGTACTACAAGGTCCATTGCTCTTGCCACTACGTCATCCCTGAAATTCTAGACTAATTATGCAACTTTTTGAATTTTCACAAATTTTTTTCTTTTTATAACATATCTTCTAAGATTAGTTTATAGAAGTATCCTATATTATAAAGAGAAATAAAATGTCAATAATTGAGTGGTAGAAAACTAGGTTTTAGGTCAACTAGGACGAGTGAGATGCTTTGAACATATCACAATTTAGTGTGAATTGAATTATTGGGTAATGAAATTAAATAACAAAGTTTTTTTTTTTTTTTACTACTAAACACAGAAGGATTCGAACTTGAATATTGGGTGTCATCACCTGAGTCTCTCATCACTGTGCCAACACCTTAAGGTGCTAAATTAAATAACAAAGTTGATTCGTTTGAAAAGCATACACTAATTAGCTCAGATAATGTAGTGGATCTTGTGTTTGACTCATCAAATCATGTTATTGGCAGACAAGTCACTTAACAAAGGGGATTATTTAGGCTGCAGAAGAAAATAGTGGAAAAATAGGAAAAAAAAAAGACAAACAAAAAAGGAAAAAAGGGAATTTACAAAGTTACCCATCAAAGGGGGCAATAATATAATAACTTAGAAACTTGTAATAAGGTAATAGTTTAGGTGGAATTAAATAATTAAAGTATATGGGAAATGAATGGAGAGTTTGGTGGAAAAGGTGGTGGTCAGTCAGTTTGCCCATTTCTTCATAAAATCTCTAACAAGGCAAAGGACCCCCAAAAAGCAAACTATCTTTTGGTGGATAATGATGGATATTGAACTATATGCTACTTTCAACGTGCACTACTTATCAAATTTATTTATTTATTTGTAAGGTTAAAATACGATTGGTACATGTAATCGCAATTTTGGTTCATTTTARTCTGTAATTTTAAAATGTTTATTTTGGTTTTCGTACTTGGTTTATTTTAGTTTGTTACTTTCAAAATGTTCGTTTTCGTCACCAAGTTTTAAAAAGTGGACTATATTGATCCCTATTTTCAAAAATTTAACATGACTTTTTATATAACAAAAACTCTTTAATATAAAGTCATTATTACATTTAAAGAAATATGAACATTTTGAAAGTATAGTGATCAAAATGAACCAAAGCTAATCGTAGAGAAATCAAAATAATATTTTAAGCTATTTGTAATTTCTAGATTGAGATTGACCAAAACTACAATCTGAGTTAACTTTTGAAAGTGATTTTTTTAAGCACTTTTTTTTTCCAGAAATACTTTTATCCAAGTTGGGAGAAATTTTTTTGTGATACTCTTAATCTTCCCAAGAGCTTAGTAAAGGGTATTTATACACAAAAGCTAAGGGCTCATTAAGCCGTTGGCGCTTTTGGGCAGCTTGCACTTAACTAACTAATAGCCAAAGGATAAAAAATTAAACATACGATAGTTACGTCAATTTCCCTCCATCCACAAAAATATCTCGTCCTCGAGCTAACTAGCCAAAGAGAATTCATCTAATTCTTCATATGCATAGATATAAGCAACATTGTGTGGTTCAGTTATTCGGGTTGATATTTGTTCCACCCCTTGACTAATATCAACAGAAGAAGGGAGATTAGTTAGATCAACCGTTAAATGAGGTAATTTAATGTGAATAACTTGAAATGGAGGCTTCCCTGTCCATCTATTCTTCCAATGATTGTAAGCAAATTCGGCTTGGGTAAGTGCAAGTTTCTATTATTTCTGGGCGATTTTCGCTTAAACATGGTGTTAAGTTTCCCAAGGTCCTGTTGGTTGCTTCAGTTTGTCCACGTGTTTAGGGATGACTTGTGGTGCTGAACTTGAGAACAATAATGTTCACATGTTTAGCATGGTATTAGAGTGGGAGATCTAGTGTTCGAACCCTTACACTTAAACTTTTGGGTTGAGTGGTGGTTTATTTATTCTTAACACCGACTCTATTGAGATAGCACCAATCCCAACCCCTGAGGCATCTACGACCACTTCAAAAAGGTTTATTAGAATTTGGAAGTGTGAGTACTGGACTATTGCTGAGTTTATTTTTAATAGTGAAGAAGCTGGATGTTAGGTCCTCGCCGGATTAGAATGTCTC